CCCTGGCTTTCCCCCCAGCAGGCCATCTACACAGACTGGGCCCCCCCCCCCCCAGGGAGCCAGCTCATCCCCACCTAGAAGGGGAAGAGTCTTGATGCCCCAAGATGTCTTGTTTCTATGAGCTTTACTTCTCCCTGGGCCTCGGCGACACAAACCGAGTCATTTTTTTCACTTGGCCTTGATGGTTTTGAAACGGGTCTTTTCAAGTTCTAACAGCCAAAGAACATTAGAAACTATACTCTGTATTTTTTTTAATACCTTAAGATAATAATAAGTTCTTCCTCTCTAAAGGTGATGTTTAATTAAATCTTCTGGCCATTTTGGCTGTTTTCATATTTTTCAGGAAAACTTCCCAAATCAAGAAGTAAAACACTCTTCAGACATTAACCACCCATTCCATCTCGATCCTAGGAAGTGTCACCTGCTTTAGAACATCATGGGTCAAGGAAAGTTGAAAAGTTATTGAAGAATGGCATAATTAAGAGTTAGTTTTAGCCTTACCATTTAGTAGCTGGGTGGCCTTGGGCAAGCACAACCTCTCTCAGCCTCAATGTTTTCCATCTGAAAAATGGGTGCAATACTACTCTTAAGGTTGCTGGGTAGATAGGAAGTCCTTGTGCCCAGGAGGGGTCTGAGAGATGTCCCTTCCCTCCTCCAGGCCAAGAGCAGCTTTCCTCTTTCCATGCTTCTCAAGATGTCAGTAGCCTGGGCCCTCCCAACCCCCACCACATAGCTAGCTCTTCTCCAAAGTCTGATCCTTTCTATTTTCCTTAGGTCGCAAAGCCCAGCGCTGAGATGTAATTGTGTGTGAGAGTGACAGGGAATGGATCTGGTTTCTTTGAAAATGGCTTCTTTGCTAAAACCACAACCTCAGATCTGATACTGAAAGAATCCGCTGGCAACGGCCCCTGTCAAAACAATTTGGAGATATCCAGGGGCCATCCTCCAGGGCTGGCAGCCGGCCCCCAAGCTGAGCCTCACTCTTGAATTCCCGACAGGCTCAGGGGCTGGCCCCCAAGACTCCACCCCATGGCCCATTCCTCCTTGCAGAGGGGGCCCGGGAGAAGGGCTTGGCATTCGGAAGCGAAATTCTCTCTCTCCTGCCCCCCCCCACCTCTGCAGAAACCACACTCATACACACACACACACCCCAATTTTCAGAAAGCGCTTGGCACTGCACACCCCTTCCTGGGCTGGACAGAGCTGCCAGAGCAGGATCTGCCCGGCCAAGGCCGCCGTCTTCTTTCCCAGCCCCCTCCCTTTCCTCCTCCCAAGTCAAGGTTTTGTCAGGAGTTTCAGGGGCAGTGACTGGTGGAGAGGGGGGCCACAGACATCCTGACTGCTGCCAAGTCCCTTTCTTTCCCCCACAGTGTGTTTTATAAGCGGCATGTAGTTTATTCTTTTCCTAAACACCCCGATAGGGTGCAGGGCCCGGAGTTGCCATAGAAACACCTTTTAACTCCTCCTCACCCAGAAGGCTGTGCCAGTCCCCAGGGCTTTGGGGAAGAAAAGCAAAATGCGACACCTGTGGATGAGGAGGGTGGAGAGCGAAGGCCATGGGGGAAGCCCTTGGAGAGGGCCAAGCCGGCCACGCTGTGCCCTTCGTGGGGCAACATGGCACCCAGCCATGAAGCAAAAACAACCAGGAAGGTTCTGGAAGAGGAAATTGGTAGGCTGGCTTGAGCACCTCTAGTGGGCTACAGTGTTGATTGGTGGGGTTGTGGGGGGTCCAAGGGGACGGGGAGCTCCTACACATTTTCTTCAGGAAGAGAATGGGCAGAGCTTCCACCCGGACTGGAGACCAGAAAGGCTCCGAGCAGGGAAAATTGGGAGCCACCTACTGGACGCCAGCAGGGTGCTCCGTAAGGCAAGCAGGAGGTCAACAAGCAAGCAGCCCACACCCACACCTCCCATTTTTAAAAGCATTATCTCATCCCTGCCTAGTGCAGTGCACCAAACCGAGGCAGAACAATTTAGGATCCGAGCCAGAGCATCGAAGATTTTTCCTTTCTTTTTTATTTTTGCTACCACCATAGTTCTGATCTTTTGGGTACTTCCTGGTAACTTAGCTTCTGTTTGGGCAGTTTATCTGGGGAGCGGAGAACTATTTCTTGAATAAATCTAGAGAAATTAGAAGAAACTTTCTGGACCAGTCCAGACCCACAGCAGGAAACTTAAATGGAAATCGAAGCAGTAAACTGAGTCGAGGAGGGCCCCCATTGGAAGGAGGATCTACTCACTCCTGTTTCCACCTTTCCCTGGTGAACTTCCAGGGTAGCAACCCCAAAGCAAAGGGCAAGGGGGAGGGATGAGGTCCTCCTGCCCACACACACCAAAACACCCAAGTGAACACACCTAACCCATTCTCAAGCAGAGGAGGACTTAGGCTATAAGTCTGCATAGGCTGCTTCCACCTGCTAGCCTCCTGGTCCCCTGTGTGTGCTCCTGGCTGAGCTCAACCAGAACTCCGCAGCAGCAGCAACTCCCAACACTCCTCAAGTGGGAATGTCACCAACCGGGTTGAGGAGGGAAACGCCAAGTGGAATTTGGGTGGGGGCAGCCAGGGGAGGAGGAAGAACATCATCCCGGCCTTGGGCAGCCCAAAAGGATCCTTCCAAGCAATTCACAAACCCAGGGCCAGCCAGGTTCCCCTGGGAGAGGAAAGGGTGTGCCATGTGGGCCCCAGGAAACCTCTAACAAGGGTGACCCCAGGTCGCACAAACACCTTCAGCTGCCAACTGGACTGACCTTCTGGTCACCACAGCCGCCTCTCTGACTTCTCCTAGGCTTGGCCTGGCCCACTAGCGCCCCTCCCAACCTCGGCTGCCTCCCACCCAGGCTCCTGCCTCCTCCCCTCCTCTCCGCCACACACTTGTGGAGTCCCTCACCCGAGACCCAGTGGAAAATTTCCTTCTCCTTTATGACCGCACTTAAAACACACACTCTCCATTCTTCACCTTTGAATCGACACAGGCAGAGGGTGGCTAGACTGTGTCCCACCCCACTGCCCAGCACGCACGCGCGCGCACACACACACACACACAGCAGGCCACTGGACTTGCAAGCTTCACGAGCTGGAAAGGAAGGGAGAGATGTTTTCCAGCTGCTACTCCACCTCTGGCTATCCAAACACAAGTGTCCCGAACACTCCCAAGCAATTTCTCCCAGGACACTTTCAAGGCCTTGGATAAAAATTGGCTCTACTTCTTACTGGGTCCCTCTAATGAAGATGCTAAGTCCAGTTTGGAATTGTCACCATGATATAACCCTTGGCATCTTTGTTCTTCTGGTGACAAATCTATTTTCCAGTGCTCATTCTCTCCCTCCCTACACACATTTAAAAAAAAAAAAATAGCCTTCCTGTGAATTTTCACAGCTATGTGATAAGTGATCCCTCGAACACCCACCTCCTGCTTGCTATCAACACTCTCAAATACAGTTCCTCCAGGGGGAGGGTCAACTAAAAAAAAAAAAATAGCCTTCCTGTGAATTTTCACAGCTATGTGATAAGTGATCCCTCGCACACCCACCTCCTGCTTGCTATCAACACTCTCAAATACAGTTCCTCCAGGGGGAGGGTCAACTCTGCAGCTTTCTCCTCACTTTTACCCCTAAGTCCACCAAAATTTGGCAGTCCAAGAAGCTCAGTTAGCACTCTCCTGGGAAGGCTGAGGCTGGGTTGGGTACCAAAATTTGGCAGTCCAAGAAGCTCAGTTAGCACTCTCCTGGGAAGGCTGAGGCTGGGTTGGGTACCAAAATTTGGCAGTCCAAGAAGCTCAGTTAGCACTCTCCTGGGAAGGCTGAGGCTGGGTTGGGTACCAAAATTTGGCAGTCCAAGAAGCTCAGTTAGCACTCTCCTGGGAAGGCTGAGGCTGGGTTGGGTACCAAAATTTGGCAGTCCAAGAAGCTCAGTTAGCACTCTCCTGGGAAGGCTGAGGCTGGGTTGGGTCTCAATTTCAGAATGAACTTCATGAGCGCAGGAAATAATGCACACCCAGAATACGCCAAGTTTCTCCTGCAACTTTCTGTGCACATGGCTGGCAACTTTTTTTTTAACTATTCAACATCCCAGCACTTTAGTGTGCATTCCAAATTCTAGGAACCCTCTCCCCCGGCCTTTCTTCTTTCAGTTGTGCACGGAGAAATTTTCCAGATGTCAAAAGGACCGGTAAGGACCTCACGCCCTAAAAGGAGAGCCAAGGCTGCAGGGGCTTCGCTCAGCCACTGTGGGGTTTCCTCTGCAGGGCATCGTCCCCCTCGGCTATGCCAGAGCCCAGAGCCCCGGCCTGAGGAAAGTACGTCTCGTCAGCCCGTCCCAAGCACATCTGCCCCTCTCCCGGGACAGAGACAAGGAGCAGCGCCGCAGTCCCGGCTGCAGCGCGGGGCGGGCGGGGGCACCAGGCGCGCTTACCGATGTCGGAGTTGCAGAAGGCGTCCTGGGGGTGGCTGGGCGAGCATGTGCACGCCTCGGCGCCCCAGTCCCCCAGGCTCCAGCTGCCCAGGAGCACGACGAGCCCGAGCCAGGGAGTCATTGCCGCCGCTGCCGCTGCCGCCGCCGCTCTGGGGCCGCTGCTCGCCTCTCCAAAGTTGCGCGCGCTGCGCCGGCGGGGCTGCTGCAGCCCGAGCTCGTCCTCCCGGCCGTGCGAGGCAACTTCGGCCTCCGGCGCGCCGCCCTCCGAGTGCCCAGCCGGACGGGATGGGGCGCGGCGAGGCTGCCCGGGCGCTGGCGCACCGCTCCGCGGAGGGGCGAAGGAACGGGAGCAGGAGCCGGAGCGGAGCCGGAGGAGGAGCAGCCGTCCGAGCACCCGCCGCCTGCCCGCCGCCCGCTGCACGCCGCTGCTGGGGCTGCCCGGAGATATAGCGCGGGTCCCCGGGGGACCCCTCCCGGCCGGAGCCCGGGCCCGCCCCCGCCGACCAATCGCAGAGCCGCATGACCTCATCGGCCCTCCTTAAATTTTATTTATATTATTCCAACCTCCCCCAAAAAAGTGTCTTGGGAGAAAAAAGTGAAAAAAAAAAAAAAAAAACTCCTTTTTCCCCTTTATACATTTTAGCCATACAGAAGGAAAACCAGCAGATCCTTATAGGGAATAGTACGGCCGTGGGCACGCGAGTGGGTGGGCTGGGCGCGCCCCGGACCCGCGCCCCCGGCCTGGCCCCCAGAGCGGCCCCTTCCGTCCCCCCTCGCGCCTGCACCCTCGCCTCACGCCCACCCCGATCTCTGGGCACCTCGGACCCAAAGCAGGATTAACTGCCACCCACCCACCCAGCACAACCCCTTCCACAAGTCATAGGTGGCCCCGGCTCTGGAGACCTTGATTACGCCTGGTGGAAAGTCTAGGAGAAAATGCTACCCCTCCACCTTCTCTGGGGAGAGCAGCCCCAGAGGGGAAAGACCCAGACAGACTTATCTTTTCTTCTGTCTCTTGCTCTTACTTTCCTGGGTATGGAGAAGCCATCTGCCCTTTGAAGCTGGCTCTAGTAGAGGGTTGTTTTCCTGGGCTCGCTAGGAGAAAAGGAGGTTGTGAATTCATTCAGCAAACACTGGTCCCGAGGCTGGGGTAAGCAAGACAGAGTCCTTGCTCCTGTGGAAAGTCGTGATTACATAGGGTAATTTTCTATGGTGCTAGTGCTATGAAGAAAACAAAACAGAGTGATGGGTTAGAAATGACTGGGGAGAAAATGCTTTGTGTGGGATAGTAAGAGAAGGGCTCTCTGAGGTGACGTCCTGGCTGAGAAGTGACAAGGGGAAGGATCAGCCCCCGTCAACCTGCAGGGGAGGGCACCGGGCCGGGAGAGCAGCAGGTGCAAAGGCCCTGAACTTATCTGGAGAACAGAAAGCAGAAAAGTCAGGAGGAAGTGGTAACCGTGCCCGTGGCAGACAGGTCTTCATCCTTCAGCAAGGAGTTTTGGGATGAACTCATCCAAAACTGGGATAAAACCAGATCCTGGAGAACTATCCAGACTCCTAGATGACTAGTTATAATGGATGATGGTGAATAATGAATGCAACCACTATCTTTATTATTAACATTTTGATTCTGCTTTCTGTTTTTAAAAGCAGGGCTCCACACCTCACCTCATTCTATGTCACAAAAATCCTTCTAGATAGGAAAAACAAGCTCAGGTGTCACAAAACGGACACAGAAAGGTGGGGTGATTGGCAACCAGCCAGGAACTCAATTCACACATTTCCACCAACTCTTCTTAAGAAGCTTTTATTTCACTGAACTTCAGCAGCACTTAGATGTAAGTGTGCAAATGTTTTTTGCAGCTGGGATCATCCGTCTTTCTATACCTTTGTGTCTCTCTCTCCCTTTCTCTCCCACTTCACCCTGTGTAGAAGGAGGCTTGGAGCACATAAGGAATGGGAGAAATGCAAGTTCAGCCTTTTTCTCAGAAACTCCTCTGTTTACACCTCCAAGAAGTGACAATGGGTTGGCAGAAGGAGAAAATTTTGTGGGAGATGGTATTTCCAAGAACATCTTAAAAACTCCTTTTTCGGGCCGGCCCGGTGGCGCACTGGATAGTGCGCCGCTTGGGAAGCACGGCGGCGCTC